CAAGATTTAGTAACAAATTTACCGAAAGTGTGAGCGTAAGTACTTACTCGACAAGCCAATAGTACGCTATACATTGAATATATTTCATTTCATTTAAATATTATCAAAATGGTGATATTAGTACAGTAAGAATTGCCTTCTTTTTTAGTACAACAAATATAGGTACAAAATACAATAGCGCTTACATTGAATATGAGACAACAGATAGAACTAACACTGAATATGAGACAATAGATAGAACTTACACTAAATATGAGACAAGAGACCAATACCAACAATCAAATGTTAAAAATTAAAACGAAATGTAATTAAAATTGAACTTAATTATAATCTTAAATTTAATTAAAGCTTAATTAAATTAAATTAAATTAATCTAAATTAATCTGATTTTGATGGCCTGTTTAAGACTCTAGAAAAATGAGAGTATAAGATAGCTTTCTAGTTGCTTTTATTTAATTTTCCTCTTACTGCAGTTGGAATGGAGTTCTAACTTCTAATGGTATTGATGAAAAACAGTCAGTTAAAATTAGGTACAATGAGGTCTCTTGTGCGCCCGGACTTTGGAAATATCAGTTTGTCGTAAAGATAAGAAGGCGTCTTGGCGTTCACTAGCCGGTATAGAAAAATGCAGCTCCTGGTTATTTGGAAATTGTGAATTTCACACCCTAACAAACTTGTTTTGCACTCCGATATGTGATCAAATTTCTTCATGATTGTGATTCAAATTTCTTTCGTGTGACATTATTGAATAGTACATCGAACTTATGAGCCGAGAGAGAGTCTAGTTTATTATAAACCAGCTCAAAATATGTTATTATGGGTACTATCAACTGTACTGAGAGTCGTCGCCTCGTGACCATAGGTGTAAAAACCGCACTCTGACGCAGATTTTGAAGTATCCCATAAACTTTACCAACTAACGAATTTACATGATCAGTGCAGGTCAAACTTGAGTTAATGACAAAGCCCAAATTAGTAATTTTGCTTACAAAATGCAATAGTTTATTACCAAAAACTAAATGGGGTATAGTAGCGCCACTAAGTTTTCTCTTTGCGATTGGTAATACGAGTTTTTAGAGTTCAGGAGAAGACCATTGTTCTTCGACCACCGCTCAATAGAAACCAAGTCTCGATTATACTTTTGAACTAACATGCCTACATTTTCAAAGCTACTCGATAGATATAACTGTATATCATCCGCATAGGCATGAACGTTTACAAATCGAGAAGTCAAGTAGGCAAAGTAATATTGTGCATAGAGAAAAATTACTGGGAAGTGAAAAACGTAATTTTTTAAACAAAAAACGTCCAAACGTCAACAGGATACAAAAAACGTCCAAATGACGTTAAAAACGTCAACCTGGCAACGCTGGATATACGTTTCAACAGTGCACTTGCACAGTATTCGCATTCGCAAAAGCTCCGCATTGATTATTGCGAATGCGAAATCGAATGCGAATGTTAAAATTGATGCGGAAGCTCCGCGGTTGCGAATGCGAATGCGAATATTCGCAACAACCCTGCTAGAGAGCTGCAGATAAAACTTTCACTGCAAGTGGAATTATTTTAATATCTATTGCAAAATTTTATACAGACAAGATTAAAAAGTATAAAATAAATAAAACAAAAAACTTTTTAATATACCACGCTTTTATAAATAGACTAAAAATTAGAGAATAATATTTCTCAATCCCATAGAATTTGCTTTGATAACTTTTGATTGGAATTCTAGAAAAAGTCATTATAAACCATTTAATAATAATAATACTAATAATAATAATAGATAAGCGCCAACCTATACACATATGTTAGGGTTTGGCCGAGCTTCTCCTCCGATTTGTGGCGTGCGCCTTGATGTTGTCACACAAAGCGGAGGGACCTACAGTTTTACGCCGCCTCCGAACGGCGATTGTATTTTTATGAGAAGCTTTTTTTCATGGCAGAAATACACTCGGAGGTTTGCCCTTACCTGCCGAGGGACGACCGCTGTTAAGAAAAAACCTTTTTCTATGTTTTTTGCGATGTTGCTTTGACAGGGGCTTGAACCCAGGCGTTGCGGAGTGGAAGCTCGCACTGCTTACCACTACGCCACAGCGGTTTAAAAAGTACAATTGGCAAATATTTATATGCAAAATGATGTTTGGAATGTATATTTTTATAATTAAGAATTTAAAAACTTAATTCAACTATCCGACCAACCTACCAAATGAAAAAGAACAGACCAAATTTGGTCGGATAAGACCAATCGTGGCAACACTGGCAACAGCACATACGAACAGTTTGAAATTTCGCTGCCAAAGCAACAGAACAGCAAACTGAAACCAACATTTCAGCTGTGCTGCGGCTTAAGCAGTTTAATTAAACTATGTTCCCATTGGCGTAATTTAGAGGTCAATCTTAATTTACGCATAAATTAAGTACAAACAAGGCGAAATTGTAAAGTCTCTCAGTAAATTAATATGAAAGTACATAGTTTATCTTAAACCAAGAACCAAATCACGAACAAATCAGTGTCGGCTCTAATTTTATCGATAATAATCGAAAAAAGTATTGTCCCACAACTGATATGTCATTGTGCTTGGACGTTTTTGTTTTGAATAATCGCGCGTGGTAGTTTGTAAAATATTTCCAGAAGCTTTCTCTTTTGATCACTCAACTAAAATCTAAAAAATTACCACAAACAACTCATAATATAAAAATATACGCAATTACTCACATTCGCGATCTCTTTTCGTTAAATAAACAATAACACAGGGTTGCTACAAAGCTGTCAGGACAAATAAAGAAACGCGTGTATGAACGCACTTCATTTAGTGAGGTATTTTAAACGAAACTAAGTATTTTATGTTGGTAATGTGAACATAGTTTAACAGTGGTTACACACTACGAACATATCCGCGAACATGCTCGGCTTGCGGTGCATGTTCGTCGTTTGTAGGGCATTGGAAACAAAAACAAAAATCTCATTTTGTGTTGATGCTTGCAGTGTGCACATCGCGGATAAATGCATCCAAGCCATGTGCGTTAATTGAATTTTTGATAAATGAGGCTAAATTACTATATGTATATGTATGTACATACATACAAGTAAAATATAAATAAATTTAAGTAACACATACATAAAAAACCTAAGTCATAAGTATTTCAATTGCATCATCCGCGTCTTTCCTTTCCATGTTTACGCTTTGAGTACAAAATCACTTATGAGCCGCTCACCGTCTGTAGCAAACGACAGCGAGCATGTTGGCGCACATGTGCGCGGATATGTTCGTCGTGTGTAGCCAGTGTTAGCTGTGCGCAGCAAAGAAGTCACAAAAGTTTCAAAAGGAAAGAATTAGTTGCGATCCCGTACGAGTCCGGACTAGTCAGAATCAGTCAGATTTTACTGGAAATCGATCCCGTACTCGGTTCTCTGACTATTGAGAGGACAAAAAAGAGCGTAAATACGGTTCTCTCTCTGTCAGAAGTTACCAGTTTTAGTCCGAGAATTTTTTGCTGGTAAATTCTGGTAAATGTGTCAAACGATCAGCTGTAGTGTGTTTGGCAACCAAATTGTAAACAAAAGAAAAGTGCTAATTCATGTTGAAAAGTATTTAATTACTTGTTTAAGTTGATACTACTGAATTTGAAAGTATTTTTGGTTATTTACATGTGGGAGCTGAGTGTGTTTACATACAAAATAAGCAAAAATTTACAACCAAAATTTGGAGGTTACGTTGAAGTTGACAGAAGTTACCATTTTTTACTAGAAAGCGATCCCGTACTTTTCAATGCTACTCTCTCGCTCTGAGCGAATTTGTATTTTTTTACAGTTTTACTAGTCCGAGTCCGAAGAATACGGGATTGCACCTATTGCTTTCGCAACACAGAAAAAGCAGGTTTTTTTAGTTCTGTTGCTGCTATGCTGACAGCATAGTTGCCAACTTGGTGCTTTAAGCAAGCGAAAATTAAAACGCCTAAAAAAATTATTTAGTGCCTAGTGCCTTTTTTAGTGCTTTTTTTCTGAACTAAAACTACTCCGATATAGTTAAAACCTGAAATAATTTTTAAATATTTAAAGCTGTGGCAGCACTGAATTTACAAAAAACTACAAATTTAAATGCACTTAAATACAACCATGATTGATAAAAAGCTGAACTTGGGAATTCACCTTGTTCAATTCTATTCGCGTTAAAAATGCTAGTAGGTATGCGAGTAAGTTAAGTATTTTTTTCTTTTCTAATTATTTGTAAAAATTTTTGTTTTTGTACCACCTGAGTAAAACACATCGTTTCTTGGTGCTGAATCCAAATCTGGCCGCACAATTGCTCTAGCACTAGGATTTTAAGATAACCTAAACTCAAAGTGCCAAAAACACGGTTTTTGGCGATATTTGAGGTTATATAATGAAACCAAAATTTTTTTTTGCTCATTTCTAATTGGGTCATGATTTACGTTTGTTGGGATTCGTTTTGTCTTCCTTGAGTTATATCAGTTTTAATGTGCAGTACTTCGGTATTACGTCGTTAGCATGAGTCATTATAGCATGTGGCTTTTCAATCGTTATGAGCGAAAAAGTTTTGTTTATTGATTTATGTATGCATTCTTGTAAATATTGTTATTTTTTTGTTTTTGTTAATTACATACAAACTGTTATGAAAAAAGCATCAATTGATGCAAAACCATTTGGTGCTTTTAGTGTGGTAAAACGCTTTTTTCCAAGTTTTTGGTGCTTTCTGAAAATCAAAAGTTGGCAACACTGGCTGACAGTTTTTCAAACATTAGTTGCGTTCCCGTACTCGGTTCTCTGGCAAAGTAGGGGAAAAATGGGAGAGTAAAATCGGTCCTATCTTTGTCAAAAGTTGCAATATTTTACCCGAAGAATTTTTGCTGGTAAAAACTTGTAAAGTGTCAAACCATCAGCTGTTCAGTATTGTCAAAGTAATTTGAAAGTTGAATAAATAAATACAAAACACCATCTGCATTTTCATTTTATTAAAAATCGTGTTATTAACGAAGAAATGTCGAGCTTTGTAAGTATTTTTGTCTATTTGACTGCATATTCGGAGTGTTAGTGTTTATAATTATAAAAACACAGGAAGTTTCTGAGGAAGTAACCGGCACGGATACTAGGGCCGCAGCCATTGCTGAACTAATGGATTCATCGAGTGATTCCAGCGATAGTGAGACGTTTGAAGCAACTTTAGCACAAATAAATCACAGGCAGATTGTTCTTTTTAATGAAGTGGCAAAACTCTTTCTGAAACAAACGAGGAATAGCATAAAAACTATTTAGTAGATGTGATGCCTAAGTATTCGGAATATGAATTTAGACAACACTTCCGTATATCAAAGCAGCTATTCACCAGCTTGGCAATGCGGTTGGAAGTAAACGGAATATATACGAGATTGCGATCAGATAAACGCCTTCCAGCCACAAGTTATATGGCAATATTTTTATGGTTCGCAGGCCATGAAGCGTGTAGTTATCGAGATCTATCTGATCGCTTTGATATTGCAATTTCAAGCGTTTCTCGTATCATCGAAAGAACCACAATGTTCATAAGCAGCTTAAGTCCAGAAGTCATTAAATGGCCGAGTGAGGTGAAAAAACGTGAAGCTGCAAATTTTTTCAATAATAAATGCGGATTTTCAAAAGCAATAGGTGAGTAGCATATGTATGTGGTGAAATAGTCAGTCGTAAATTTATACATATGCAAATTTTTTCATGTTTAAGGGTGCATAGACGGAATGCATATAACAATTGATCCGCCGGCCGAAAACAAAGATGAATACATTGACCGAAAGGGCAACATGTGTTTGTGCGTGCAAGCTATATGTAACGATGAAAAGAAATTTATAGACGTTTTCGTAGGATTTCCTGGTTCGAGCCATGATAGCTGGGTTTTCCAAAATTCGCCTACATATGAAAATTTGTCATCTCTGTGTGGAGGTAATATAAGTCAAAAGCAATAATCGCTTCAGTGGGAAGGCCGCCTTTACTGTAGTGCACCATTTGGAATTCTTATTTAAACAACAGGAATTTCTAAATGGGCTTTGTTGAAAATATAGATAGAGTTTATGGAATTAAAATTACTATTTCACATTCATTTGCCAAAGTGAAATGTGACGTGTGCAATCAGAAATCTTTAGTGGAGCAGTATACCAAAGCCCTCGAACTTAAGCGATTATTGTTTTTAAAATAACGGAAAATTAATTACAGAAATTTATATATATTTTTTTGTAGAATACTATTTGCTAGGTGATTCGGCCTACCCATGCAGTCAGCATCTTTTAACGCCGTACAAGGATAATGGTCATTTGACCAACGCGCAAAGACACTTCAATAGAAAACTTAGCACAGGTCGTATTGCTATTGAACACTGTTTTGGAATTCTCAAGCAGAGATTTCGACAATTATATTATTGTAAGCTCAGAGGAATTAAAAAGCTATGCCATTTTGTAAGAGCGTGCTGTGTTTTACACAATCTCGCCAACCTGGATGACATCGAATTCATACCAGAAGAGAACAATATTGAAAATGATGAAAACGAACAGCCCCGGACATCACGAAGAAACGCTTTAAGAGATTTGATATGCCGAGATTTGTATTCCAATAGGCAGCAATAATACTTAAAATACATACGTATATATATTTTTTCAAAAAACAACTTTTAATTTCATATATGAGATCAATTCACAAAGAGAGAGAGATATGAAAATTCTTAAATATCTAAAAAAAAGTATCAAAAATTCACTGAAGACCACAATTGAGCGGTTGGTGATTTTTTTTTTAATACTTGCGATGTTTTCCAAGTTATGATTTATTTGGTAATTTTGAGATTTTTTTTATATGGTTGTGGTTATAGTATAAACAACATGTATTTGTAAACAAAACTAACAAATAAAACCTAACTTTAAAAACATCGGAAGTATTAAAAAAATCACATTCACTGGCGATCAGTACTGAGCGAAAAACTCGGTGTATATTTGTAATTGTTCATGCTTTAATCAAAGCTATATAGATCAAAGTTTCAAACCTTATCTAAAATTTTTGGGTATGCAGTTACATACCTCATAATTACTAAAGATCGTCGGCTAAGAAATTGCGTTGATTTTTAGTAATTATGAGCTATGTAACTGCATATCAAAAAATTTTCTTAAGATTCAGATTGAAAAGTTAGAAATTTTGATACAAATTTTTTGAATTTTTCTAATTTTTGATAAGGTTTGAAACTTTGATCTATATAGCTTTGATTAAAGCATGAACAATTACAAATAGAATTTACAAAAAAAGTTTCACTTGAAAAATATTGTTAATACCTAAAAAACACCATTCACTGAGTATGGATCACCAGTTTAGAATTTCCACAAAAAAAATGTATAGCCTAACTATCGGGCCTTCGCTTAAGAAAAGCCTCTAGCAGTTCCATTTTTTTCTTGGCCATCTCCTCCCTCAACTGAGCCTTTTCTTCCTTAAATTGCATATGGTTTAAAACGCCTTCATTTAATTTTTTTTTGCTCCTCCAGCAGGCTCTCCATAGTTTGTTGCATTTTCCTTTGGTAACTAGTGGCTTTTTTCTTTAGTGCAGAACTAGGGACGTCATCTGTAATAAACATAATTGCGATATTTATTGGTATACATATGTATATTGATACAAATTTCGAACTTTGTAAAAAATTCGAAAAATTCAACAAAATTTTACAACAAACTTTTTATTAAGAATTTTTAGAAAAAAGCGAAGTACGCAGTTTTATAGCTCTCAGATTCTAGCTTTAGAAAGTCCAAGCTTCAAGTGACTAAGAATTCGCGTTGATTTTTGATGTTTTTTTTTTTTGCTGACGGTGTCACGCATTTGTATGGAAGAAAATTCGTGTCAGCAAAAAAACAAAAATAATCAAAAATCAACTCGAATTCTTAGCCACTTGAAGCTTGCACTTTCTAAAGCTAGAATCTAATGGGCTATAAATCTGCATACTTCGATTTTTTCTAAAAGTTCTTAATAAAAAATTTGTTGTACATAGTTTGAAATTTGGACTTTTATGGTTTTAGGGAGGTAATGACATTTTTTTATAATAAATAACAAAAGAAAAAAGATAAAAAAATATATAGGAAAGAAAAGTAGCCAAACCGAATAAAAATGTCGTGTACCTATTATTTTTCACATGTCTGTATATACCATATATGTTAGCAAAAACACTACCTTGCATTGTTTGATCCAAGTCGGAAGCGCTCTCGGACAAATAAGGCTCGGTTACGTCTGCACTGTGCAAGGAATAACTGGGGTTTACTGAATGCCTTTACCCCAAAATATCATTCAACTCACTAGATAACAATAAAAGATGTTAAAAATAAACGCAATAATTTTATTCTGGTTCAAAATACAAACCTTTGATAAGGACAAGTTTCCCTGTTGCTGCCCGTTCTCCTATTATGCAGCATCGTTTTTTTAAATTGTCTCTCAAGACCGCGAAACTTGTTTTCAATCTGTACGCTTGAAAAATTATAGCCCTCAAACGCCATTCTCTCCTCTATGATCTTCCACATCTTGGTTTTATTTTTTACTTGCACCGATTTCCCCACCTTCGGCTGAAGCTCCTGCAGCAACGATAGCATCAACTTCGTTGGTGCTTCCAGCCAAATCATTTTTGGCCCCTCTTCGTTGGGCTGAATTGGCGTAAAATCTTCTTCAGCTGTTACGCTTTCCTGGCTCACCGCTGAGTGTTCAACCGGTGTAAACACCAGTTCGCTTACCGTGCTGTCTTGGCCCTTTAGAACCTCGCCAATTATTTTCCTACTATAATTTTCATCTGCGAACAACAAAGTAATTAAACGATAGCTTGGAAAATGCTTAGTTATTTGTACAATGATTTTGTGTAATGAAGCGGAGAGTAGGGGGTGTGGCACCTAAAACAACACAAGTAATTAAACGATAGCTTGGAAAATGCTTAGTTATTTGTACAATGATTTTGTGTAATGAAGCGGAGAGTAGGGGGTGTGGCACCTAAAACAACACAAGTAATTAAACGATAGCTTGGAAAATGCTTAGTTATTTGTACAATGATTTTGTGTAATGAAGCGGAGAGTAGGGGGTGTGGCACCTAAAACAACACAAGTAATTAAACGATAGCTTGGAAAATGCTTAGTTATTTGTACAATGATTTTGTGTAATGAAGCGGAGAGTAGGGGGTGTGGCACCTAAAACAACACAAGTAATTAAACGATAGCTTGGAAAATGCTTAGTTATTTGTACAATGATTTTGTGTAATGAAGCGGAGAGTAGGGGGTGTGGCACCTAAAACCCCACCCCTTAGAAAGAGTACAGTCCAAACTTTAAGAAAAGCCATACTTCTCCTCTCTGACCCCTCTACAGACCTAGGGGGCCATTTGAAAATGGCGTCAAATTAACATTCCAACATAGAAATTGTCAACTCGGGATATGTCATGTATTTTTGCGTAGAACTTCTTTATGAGTAGGCGGCCTTCGGGCGCACTTAGGGATTAAAACCCTTACTAAGTATAATTCTTCTTTCTGTGTTGCTAATATCGAAGGTATACAACATGCACGCCATCGACAGAATTTTTGCGCAGAATCAACATCGAAATTTACAAAAAGTGCATATTTCAAACCGAATCTATTAATGAACTATTGCTCAGGATTTGAAATCTCTGTTGTAAATTAAAGCTTAATGCTTTGGCTACACGTGTGTATTTAAGTTTTTAGATTCGGGTCAGGCGTTTGGACACAACAACCCAAAATCATTGTAAAAATAACTAACCGAAAACGATAGCTTTACTCCTTCTGATCTTTAAACACATATCTATGTAGCTTACCACTTTGTATGAGTTGAAAAGTTCCAGGAGAACAGTTTACACTTAATTGGCTGTCCATTTTTTGTTTAAACTAGTCTTCAATAAACAATAAAACAGCGTTCATTAATTTTGCAAATCACCAACTATGTAAACAAACAAAACTTGACGTTTAGATTAGATTTGACAGTTTTACCAGATTGTACCCGAAAAGCGTTCCCGTACTTTTTGGTTTTTCTCTCTTTCTCTGAGAGTAATTTTGCTTTTTGACAGTTTTACAGGTTTTATCCCGAAAAGTTGAGGAACGAAACTATTGCATATGAAGGGTGAGTTAATGGTCTCGCCTAATAGTTAAATAACTACAATATAATTGTTTGGATGCTGCAATACAAATATGTACCTATTCACAAGAGAAACGAGTTTTAGTACCCCATATGAATTAACAGCCTAACGAACCAACACTTCTTTTTGTGTTTAAACCAGAGAACGTATATTTATAGAGAAGGACAAAGAACGAATCAGCGTGGAAACTGTCAAATACCAACAAAACTGGCGAAGCGCATTTTAAGAGCGGCAAGCCAGAGACAATCGAATTTTAACAAGCCCAGCCAGAGGCAAAAAAATTTAACAGAAATTGTCTCATCAAAGCAAATGCATATTTTTCTTGTTAGAAATGAAATGCTGATGGCTTTTTACGTTTTTACAACGCTTTTATTGTCCTTTAAATTGGTTAATTATTTAAAATAAATGCATGCATAGGTCGAAATATGTAATATGTAAATATTGTGTACATCCATATGTATGCGAGATACAATTTTGTGAATCTAAAAAGTGAAAGTTATGCAAATATGTAGTATGCAATTGGCAATTTCGTGGGTGATTTGCCGTCGGCATTTGGGTTGAAAAAATCGACTTTTACTTTTTTACCGATTCATATGGTAGATGCTACGCTATTTTCAATGCAACAAACCTTAGTTTTTCCCCAAATTCACTTTAAAGATGGACACATTGACCAAAAAACGCAAATGCGCTCTGTTTGGTGTCGGCATTAAAAGCGAAGCAAATCGGTTTTTATATTTTAACGATTCTAATGTAGTTTATAGGTACGCTATTTTCAATGCAACAAACTGCAGTTTTCTAGC